ATATATATAATATATATATATATATATTATATTATATATTATATATATATATATATTATATTATATATTATATATATACATATTATGTATATATATATATATATATATATATATATATATATATTTATATAATATATATATATATATAATATATATATATATATATATATATATATATATATATATATATATATATATATATATGACTTGTAAGCGCATGTGTTCTGATAAAACAGAACCTCACATTTAAACTTTCAAAAAATCAAAAATTTAGTTATAGCCGACAATTTAACGAATTAATTTTTATAAATGTAGTTACATTGGGTTCTTCGATTAACCTTGGGTACACCTTTGCGTTTCAAGTTCAAAGCTACCATACATTTCCAACGGTAATATTTTTTTCATATAGTAACAAAAAAAACCAGCACGTTGTTACTAGTATAAGTTTTTTAACATTCTAACTCTACAATTCTAAGTTACATTAAGATTTCCAGTGTTTTTTAAAAGATAATATATGGTAGCTAATTATAATTTTTTCTCTTTCAGCCCTGAAGAAGCCAAATTAGTTCTCTTTGGCGAAAATGTTCGGCGAAACAATTGATACTCATTAGAGTCTTTCTTGCAGATTTCCCCAATATTTAAGAGTTTACTATTAAACTTATCTGCAAAGAATAAATTTATTTTCCTTATATATATATATATATATATATATATATATATATATATATATAGGTATATATATAGGTATATATATAAAGGGAAGTTAGGGTTAATTGGGTAAGCAGCTAATTAAAAGCCAAATTTCGCCAATTTTCATTGCCATCACCATATAAGAGTTACAATCTTTTAAAACATGCTAAAATACAATTTGATAATTGTTTGTTATTTATATCTTAAGTATGATTTTTTAATAACATCAAGTACAATGGTACATTTAGTTTAAAATGTTGTATAATTTATTTTAATGTTTACTTTAAACTAAATGTTACATGTCGAGTATAGCTGCAATCCACAAACCATTATACTTATGTTAATAAAAAAATCACACGGCCGTTAACCTCAATCAAATAAGATATAAATAATAAACAAATCAAATTGTGTTTTTGCATGTTTTAAATGATTGTAGCTCTCATCTGATGATGTCAATGAAAATTGGCGAAATATAATGGACTGTTGAACAGAGTAGATACACTTGGCTTTCAATCAACTGCATACCCAGTTAACCTTAACACCCATTTTCATCTACCAGATCAGCTGTTATTTTAGAGGATACTAGCGGACCAACTCGACATCGAGATTTTTAAATGAAATTTTTATTTTGCGAGAAAAATTAAGAGATAATATAAGCAAGAATATACATAACATTCATCAATAATAATGCAAGTAAAAAGTGTAAAAAATATCACGAAATATTTCGTCGAAAACAATGTTTTTTGTTACAACAATGTTTTTTGTTACAATGTCTCCATTTTCTGAAAACTTTTGCTTGGCACCGAGAGTTATGTAAACTTTTACTTTTTAATAAAAACAAAACCGGAAGTCGACCTCAAAACCGGAATGCCATTTTTAGTTCATCAAATGTCGACATGGATATCATTTAGCAGTTAATTTTGTAGGCTGATCACGAATCCGGTCTGAGATTTGCTCTACCTTGACGTTTTATGCGCGTTTCGGGTCACTTCCGGTGTCGGATCGCAACCAGAAGTACATATTTAGATTCGTCTCGACGAGACTTTGGATCCATGTATACATTGTGAGGTCTAAAACTTAAAGTAATTTTTGTACCAAAAGTATATCTTGATAATCTCATACGTAATACTAATAATATTCCGAAAAAATATTTTAATTATCTAATATTGTTTTATATTATGTATGATATATATAGAGCTATATGAGCTATATATATATATATATATATATATATTATATATATATATATATATATATATATATATATATATATATATATGCCATTTTGTACTGGATGACTTAATTGAAAGCTGTATTAGGAAGTTACCATTTAATGTCCCATTTTAAAAGGACGATTTACTTCTTGCACTCCCAAAAGATAAAATAATGAAAACTCTACACATATTTAACAGTTACTGTCCAGACTTGCAATTTACAGTAGAATTAGAAAATAACAACTGCATACCATTTCTAGATGTGATGGTACACCGTGATTTAAACAACCTTCTAAAAACAGAATGGTATAGAAAACCAATATGTAGCAACAGGTGTATTAATTACTTTTCAGCACATCCATCTAAGATGAAGACCAACCTAGTATTAAATATGAAAAGTAGGGTTATAAGTTTATCACATCCTGAGTATAAAACAGCCGGTCTTAAAAAACTAAAAACGATCATGTCAGAAAATTCCCTCCCATCTAAACTTCTAAATAGACTTATTTTTGGTGTCTCTCAAGTCATCAGGACAAATCAAACAGAAGTTTCAACAAACAACCAAAATACATTTTACCAGTCTTTACCATTTATTCCAGGTTTAACAAATAGACTACTAAATACATTTAGAGAAGTACCTAATATCAAAATTGGAACCAGAAATATAAAAACAATATCGAAATTATATACTAAACTTAAAACACCCTTAAATAATAAAGAAAGCTCCAATGTAGTATACTGTCTACCCTGTAATAATTGTAATAGAGTATATATTGGAGAAAAGTCCAGAAATTTGTCCGGAAGATTAACATCTTACAAGAGTGACATTAATCTGAATAAAGTACAAGCCTGTGCATTAAGTGAACATTGTATTACAATGGGCCATACGCCTAACTATGATCAAACAGAAATATTGAGAAGGGAAAGAAATTACAACAAAAGACTGTTTCTAGAAATGTGTTTAATTAAAACTACACAAAACACCTTAAACAACAGAGAAGACATTGAAAATCTTAGTGCTATATACAGTAATCTTCTTTTAAATAAAAGAACAACAATATAAAAGTTCTTAAAAGTTACGCATATTAAAGGGATTATTCCAAGTTCAAATGAGCTAAAATTTATTTTTAGTTGTGATTTTTTTTCTTAACTACTTAGTAAAATAAACTCTGTTGCTTGTTTAATAACTGCAAACGAAACATTTCTACATATATCAAAATTTGCAATGAAGGTTTGCATAAACATATACACTTCCTCTGTCAAACTTACCTAAAATAAATATATAAAATAGAAGAGACATGTAAACCTTAGTAATAAGTTTTGACAGAACGAAAAAGAAAATCAAATTTAATAATGTTATTATGTTAATTAATTTTGATAATTTTAAAACACAATCCTCACAAGGGTAAGCCTATGGAAGATATAACAACTTCATTTTTCTAATGTAGTTTTTTATGTTAATTTTTATTACGTTTTGAAAAAGAGTACAATAAACTCGAAAGCTTAACAAACCTAAGAGAGTTTTGCTTAAAGGCCAATATTGACTACTAAGCCCAAGATATCCGTATATATATATATATATATATATATATATATATATATATATATATATATATATATACATATAAATATATATATATATATATATTTATATATATAAATATATATATATATATATATATATATATATATATATATATATATATATATATATGGTTTTGTTGTCACAGCTAAAATAATACAGATAAGATGAAACATTATACAACTTATTTAATCGGCAAATAACAAAACTGTTTGACAATGTGTCGCCCCACTACGATTAGTGAAAGAAATTTAGTTATTACTCACCATAGAAGTGGAAATAACCAGAGAGACATCAAATATAATAAATAAATGTTCATCAATAGTTCAGCACATTATTGAACGTTGCCGAAATAAAAATAGAGTTGAAAATAAATCAAGGTTAGTTCCAAATAAGATTTTTACCGAACGTGAGGAAAGATGGATTGTCAGAGAAATAACAAATAATCCTACAAAAAGTGCACCAAAATTGCGACATGAGGTGAAAAGACAGTTTGGAAAACAATGTAACTGCGAAATAATTAGACGGATATTACGAAAGAATCTACATGGTCGAACTGCTAGAAATAAACCTTTTATTAGTCGAAGAAATATGTTAATAGATTAACAAAGATTCGAACTTTTGGAATTCAGTAATATTTGCTGATGAAACCAAAATAAACTTGTTTGGGTCCGACGGAAAAATATCGGTGTGGGTAAGGCCTGATGAAGAACTAAATTTAAAATGTGAAATCAACGGTAAAGCACGGTGGTATATATGTCATCTTCAGGAGTAGGTAACATGCATTTTATTGAAGGAAATATGAAGCAATTCATGTACTTAGATATACTAAGGCATCATCTCGCTGCCTTAGTTCGTACTTGTTTGCTTTATAATTGCTGAAAAGCCATTAAAACACCAACCTAGTCACCAGATTTGAATGTTATTGAAATTTTGTAGTTGTCGTTAAAAAATAAAGTAAATAGTGCCCTGATATCAAATAGAAATGAATTGAAAGTAAAAGTTACTAAAGCTTGGGACACAATTTCCCCAGAATACACTAGAAAGTTGGTCGCATCAATGCCTATGACGACTGCAGAATGTTATTGATAATAAAGGAGGACCTAGACAATATTAGTAATCATTTTTTAACGCGTAGTTTGTTTTCTTTATTCATTTTCGTATTTTAAAGTTTGTATCATTTTAGTTGTGATATCAAAATCATAATCATCAAATAGTATTTTAATTTCAGTATGTAATTTTTATTAAATATTGATTTTTTTTAATAATTCAGTTAATAAGTTGTAAAAAACGTTAGTGTAAACGAGTAGTAACATACTAATGAATCAATATAATACTATCATCCATTATATACAAGTGATCTGTTTTATAAATTAAGTATGTTGGAATTCATTAAAAGAGTAATTTTAAATGTAAAATATAATTATAAATACTTAATGGTAATAAAACAAAATTACTAGCTAAATAATATTTTTGTAAATACGTAATTAATTAAAAATAAAATAAACACTTACCTTTTACTTTTACCTACATAAACTTGAATTTTTTAAACCCACAAAACTGGATATACAATACACAACTACCATGAGCGAAAAATTAAAATAATATACCCGTTGCGTTCCATTCTCTCAACTATCACGAACCAATGACTGAACCATTCCGCCGATTAACATAAACAATAAATCCTTACATATTAAAATGAACAAATTGTTGGTTGTAAAAGTAGATAAGAAAAATTATAGCCCCTTCCAAATTTTATATCTAGGTAGATTTGGCCGAGGTGGATCTAATATTATTAAAATAGTTAAAAATTGATGAGTGATTGAAAATTTACTTATATCTAATCAAAATTTGCATTTTTATGAAGTTTCATTTGGAATTTTCAATACGTATTGTTTGAACAAAATTTTAGTTTTGTTGTGAATGTACTTACATTAAATTGATTGTTGTGTTTTTTCGTGCGGAGGGCATGGACACATAATGGCCGGTTAGAGTGATGTATTTGTAGGTATATAGTACCTACTTTTGTTGTTCCGTCGTTATTATGGTTGTGTTTTTTGCTTAATTACGATGTTTTATGTTAATTATTTGCAAAAAAGTTAACCCGCGTCCTTATTTACTTATATTTAATGAGCTCTGAGTTTTTCTTTATGCTGTTAACTAATCCAACTTCTCTTAATTAGAAAAAAAAATTAATAAAACGTAAGCCAAATGGATCCAGCTCTCCGCAGTCATAAATTTGGTACACAAATATAATCGACTTACTCAGCTTGGGATATTATGCCAGAGCCAGTCTCGAAAACATACAACACAAAAATGACTACCCCACACCTTGACAATAGCTGAAATAAACTTACTATTAATGACGTTTGCACGTTTGCTTGGATGGATAGTAATTTCCATGTACTTCTAGTCAATATCAAATTTTGAGCAACGTAGCAAAACATGAATTACTAAATTTACTAGAATAGGATAGGTAAGAAAGAAATTATTATACTAGGAGACATTCCTAATGAATGTGTGGGTAAAAATCCGAAAAGCAATATTGTTGGATCGGTTGTAGAGGAACCCATAAATGATAGTGAAGCTCGAGTTATAGAGTTCTGCCAACAATATTTTCTAAAAATTTGATCCATGTTAAATTAGACGCAACCAACCTACGCGTAACATTAAATCAATCATTGACTATGTTTTTATTAAACAACAGAGTATGATAAGACCCTTAGCCATTAAAGTGCAACGATAAGCAATGTGAGGAATAGATCAGTTATTTATAGATACTTCTCTTGTGTTCTCAAGACAGATCTTTGAGAAATTGACATCTATTTGCAATCATTTTTTGGCTCGATTTGATAACTGCTGTCGATCTAATAACTTAATTTTAAATGTAGACAAAACAAAAGTAATATATTTTAATCACTTACATTCTGTCCCATATTTTAATAATATGGGACATATTTTATTAATAAGGGATTTATGTTTTTAAAGTAAATTTTAATAATTTTCTACTGAATTCCTTAAATTGCACAGTAAGTCACTTAATAAGTCGTACTATGCATTGTCTTGTATAAGGAATGTCGTGCTCATCTTTGTGCTGTTAAGTATAAACTAAAGCGATATTTAGACTGTTGCAACATTGATTTGTGGGGAAATTCAGTCAATACCGACCGAATGTTGGGAATAAGACCTCTTGAGAGCTCAATATGTTGATAATAACATTATGTTTCCCTTATATTTACATTTTTAAAATGTTACTGTATGCTATTAACAAGAAAATATTATCCAAGGAGGCTTAATGAACGTGTGGGTAGAATCCCGAAAAACAGTATTTTATGACCGTTGATAGAGGAATCCTTTAATAAATTAGCTCCGAGGGTTAACAAAGTGTCAAACCAAAATCGACTGACCTGTCCATGGTGGCGATTGCATGAAATTTTATCAGGACGCTTTTGTATGTGTTTAAATGATATATATTTTTAAAAAATGCCGTATTACGCTAGTTGTTGTGTTGTTCAGTGTAAAAATACATGGAGAAATAGTGATGTGAAATATTTTTATTTTCCTCGTTCCCAAAAAAAAATAGATCAAAGAATGAAATGGATTAATGCTGTTAGAAGAATGAAGTAAGTTAACCTCACTTTTCTTATATATACACATGATATATCTATTATTATGTATGTTTTTATAAGTTTTGTACATATTACATACACTTTTTAGCTCTGATAAATCCGAATGGACTCCAAAAAGTACGGATACGGTATGTAGTGCCCATTTTATTGGAAATATTAAATCCAATGATCCATTGCATCCAAATTATGCTCCAACAATATTTCCAGATATATATAAAAGAAGAAAAAATCTTAGTACTCTAAACAGGTAAATATTTTATATTTAATTTTATATGAATATTTACAGTCTGTCATTATTTGTTGCAGAAGGGCAATAGTTAAATGATTTGATTTTACATTAAGTACATATATGACAAGAATAAAAATATTCAATTATATATCTCTTTAGAATAATGTTACATACATATATAAAATGTTTATTGATTTAACTATATTAGATGAAACAAATGAACTAGTAACACATGAAATATTATTTAAATCTATTTGGTAAATCCTTGTAATTTGGTTTCCTTGTAATTGATATCCTAGGTTATAAGAATTAATCCTTGTCAGAAGTTGTCTGCCTTTTAGTGTGTTTAGTAGCAAGTAATAATTTTGTTTTTGTGTGTACATTAGTGTTTTTAAAATTCATTTATCATCATTGAATGTTTTTGTTTTAGGTACAATAGATTAATGAGCCGCAGAAATATCACAAATTCATTAGACAGAAAAAATATGAATGAAAATGATGTTGAAGTAGATGAGGAGGTTAATTTTGAACTAGAAATGCAGCCAGTCAAACAGACAATTGATGCAGAATGCCAAGTATTTATAGAAGATATTAGCAAAGATAAACAATCGAATGATAATACATTTACCTGTATTAGATATGCTGACACTTCGGAAGTTGAAATACAAACAGATATTAACACTCAAAAAAAGTTATTATTTGTGAAAGCCAACAGGAAGATAAGTGTTGTGGTACAAATACTAAAATGAGTGACAAATCAGTAAATACTGAAAATATGTTGTTTCAAGGATATAATTCTATTTCAAATGAAGAACAATTATTAAATCTTACTGGAAAAACATATGAAACCTTTAATATTTTATTAAAAAGAATGCCAAGTGTCAGATGTCGCAAAGTTCAACTTTATGACAGACTATTAATCTTTTTAATGATAATAAAGACTGGTCTAACTTTTTCAGCAATAGGAGTACTGTTTTCTTTGCATAGGACTACTGCCAGTGACATATTTTTTTCAACATTAAGTCTTTTATGTAAAGCAACAGAGGATTTTATGTTTTGGCCTGATAAATTAACAGTGCTAGATACTCTACCAAGGTGTTTTAAGCCAGATTTTGAAAACACAAGAGTTATACTAGACTGTACAGAGTTTCGTATAGAGGTTCCTTCAAGGATTGATAACAGGGTGTGGTTTTATTCCAATTATAAAAGAGGTTTTACTGCAAAAGTTTTAATTGGCATAACACCATCTGGTTTTATTAGTTTTAAATCAAAAATATATGGAGGTAGAAAATCTGATTCTCAAATTACTGTAGAGTCTGGTATTCTAGATTTGTTAGAAGATGGTGATATGATTTTAGCTGATAAAGGATTTCCCCAAGTAAAAGAAACAATAGTTGAAACAGGAAAAAAGGTCTTAATGGTGATGCCTCCCTTTTTGGAGAGGAGTGCAGTGAAACTTACAAGATTGCTAAAGTCAGAGTACATGTGGAACGCATTATACAAAGATTAAGAACATATTATAGAATATTAGATAACATACCAGAACATTTATTTAAACGTATAGATGATATACTTCAAATTTGTTGTGTTCTTGTTAATTTACAACCACCAATTATTGGTGAAACTTAATCTATATTTCACTTTATTAACCCTACCCCTTAAAATTTTTGACCGAAAAACCCGCCACCCTTTGAGTGATCCTTATTTAATATTTAATTAACGGTAGTACTATTATGATTGTTTATTTTGACTTTATTTTAATTTATTGGGCCAATCAAAATAATGTAACTTAATTGTGATCAAATGTAAAATAAAACTCCTTATATTACCTGTGTTCGATGGATTCAAAAATTATCTAGTTGTCCTTTATCGGGATAGAGAAAAAGGATAATAATAAAAGAAAATATTATATTAAAAAAATTACGTTTCTTTATTTTATATGAAAGAATAAAACAATTATCAAATTCTGCCGTTATCTTATAAATCAGTATACAAGAAAATAAATGAAATTTTTATAATAATAAAATTTTAAATCTACCTACATTTATATTAAGTGAAAATCAATTTTACTTAAACTTCCCTTTACTTGAAACAAGAAAAAAAAAACAAAACAAAAACTTTAAATTAAACTTTTGATTAGTCAAACAAACCTCAGTTCTTAAATTTGAATGCTAATGACCACAATGTCAACACATATCCTTCACAGATATTAATTTCAATTGTACAAAACACTTACAGCTTATTTTCTTATTGAGTTGTATGTTGGAACATACCCAGAAAAGTCCAGTCTCCTTAACGATGTGATCTCTCCTTTTTTGGCACCTCGGCTCCTTCCTAACGTCTCTGCAAACCTCCTGCAACAACCAAAAACACCTGATTCACTTCTCCAAAAACTCAGCTACTTATTAATGACTCAAGGACTTCCTTTTGTCAACTTGATGCCGTAAAACTACTTTCACATATCTTCACAAAATGCCCACGGTAGATACAAGGACCTCTTTTAATCTCTTTGTTATCTCCGTCTGCAAAACTATTCAATTCTTTTTCACAATGCCGGTATCCAACTCACGAACCACACCCTATCTTGAGACAAACGACTGTTTCCTACGATGACCAAATTATATCTAACTTCTCCGGTCTTCCTAATCGGCTCACAAATTCCCATTTAAAAACGGCCGTCCAATCAAAAGCTCAAATTGTGTTTACCATGATTTTGGAAAAGCCTAATTTCTGTTTCAAAGAAAAACTAAATAGCTTACTTTAAAATTGGTTTTGTCAATACACAATTTATACATATTTCAAAAGATTAGAATATGGTCATTTAC